GACCCCTGGCTGTGCAAAGACAGAAGTAAGGAAGAGAAGTGAGGAGATGATTAAACCTCTCTCTGTGTCTGGGTAAGTCCCATGCTGGAAAACTGTACAGTTCTTCATGCTCCATATTTTAAAAATAACTTTGAATCAAAGGTGATCTGAAGGCAGGAGATCTCAGTAATTTAAAGAGGTCAACCTGTTTAATGTATCAAAAAGCAGAAGGAGACATGACTTGCTTGCAGTATCGCTTCCTTCCTGGCAAAAAGTCTACCAGGTATTCTGGCAGAGAATAACAAGAGCCAGTCACTGGAGAGTGATTAATCACAGAAACAAACTACCAAGTGAAGTGCAAGATCCTCTCTCTTCTGGAGTCTTTGAATCACGACCGGAGGCCTGTCTGGAAGACAGCTTCTGGTCTGCAAAATCCTGAGGGCTGTGAGAGCAGATCGGGGGATGAGTTACTGTGCAGTTACCCTCTTCTTCAACTCCTCTGTAAGCAGCTGCCTTTAGGCGTAACTAGGTATAGGTCTTATGACCCTGTGTGCCTAAGCCCAGTACAAGTTATAGGGTTAAAAGTCTCCTGGATCATGTTGGTATCCAAGCGATTCACCCCAGTCTCCTTTGTCCTTACAGTGTTTTTGTCTCGGAGTCTGCATTACACGTAGTTGTGAAAAATTGTCTCAGAAGATGTGACCCTAGCTATGTTTGGAGAAGGACTGGGGAAAAAATATCATCAGTGTTTTGACAAGTTATTTGGATTCTGTGGTGGTGAAGAGAGAAACAGCCTAGAATGAGACAGTACGGCTCTACAGGCTTTAAAGTGGGACAGTGAGCGCATAGGAAAGAAGGTGGATCTACAGCATGAAGAGAATGGCGGTTTCTTTCTGGAAAGATCAGAGGGAGATCAGAAGAGAAGGATGATGCTAGGGGTGGTTACAGCAAGGATTAGAAATCCCAAACATTCAGAAATAACAACGCAGAGCCTCCCCGTGTCATGAGATTCATCTTAAAATGATGAAATGTTGTAAAGACTTGCTTTAATCTCCACTCTTTGCCTTCTACTTTCGACTCTTTAGGTTACATGAAAATCACATTTCACAGTTTCCCTGTGACCATAAAGATAGGCATTTGCTTTGTGAACAAAGTGAAAGCATGGGATTTAATGAGTCCAGGAGTCTGGAATTTAATCTCAACAGCCGGCACCCTGATCTAGGGATGAGGCAAAGAATTTGCTAAATTATGGGGACGTTACCACGCACTCCCACAAGTTTGCATATTTTAAGAAGATGATGACCTCCTCATTTGGACAGCTCAGGATCTGATTCAGTCAAAGGACTTTGCCCTTATTTTAGCTTGGCGCAGGACAAAGAGAAGGAGCAGACAAAAATCTGGTGACCCAGCACACAGGACATAGGACCACGGGGTTGGCATGGAGAAGGAGGACAGAGAGAGCATCATGTAGCTAGGATGCTCGGGCTGCCTGGCTTTATCTGACTAATAATGAAAGGCAGCAAGCGTGTCAGAGAGTGTGAGAGAAACAGATCGATAGAGAGATAAAACTGAGATGGAAGGAGCTGGCGAGGGGGTGGGGAAGAGAGTAATAAAACACTACAAAGCAGCAGGGTTACGTTTGAACCTGATTTGAATGCTTTCTGCGCTGGTGTAAGTGAATATAGCAGGTGTAAGGCTATGGTGAATCAGACCTAAATATAGAAACAGAGGGGGAAAAGTAGGGAGGAGATAGTCCTCTTGTTAATACTGCCCTGTAACCCGCCTTCACAGCCCTGACCCAACCTTACAAGCCCTGCCCCTCCTTTAATCCTGCTATATGGAGAAGCCCAGACCTTGCCAGCTCTGAGAATACAGATTGATAGCCCTTCCCTGCTTCCCTGGGCCACCATGATCTTCAGCGTGTCCTGAAGATGTGTCTGTTGGGTAAAACGTGCCTCGGTTACATTTTACCAAACCGAGTGCAGGAAATGCTCCTTACCACCTCGTCTACCGAGGACCCGGGGGCAGGACAGCTTCTGGCAATGCCCTGAATCGGTGGCTTCAGGGACACCTTTCTAGCTACCAATGGAAGCTGACCAGAGAAGCCTCTTTGTTCAGCTCCAGATTTTTGAGGCAAATGAGACTGAGACATCCCAAAGCTAAAGGGGCATCAGAGCCTGTAAATGAAAACGTGCTCTACCAGATCAGGACCAAGGGTCTGGGTACCTCCCCGTTAGAGCACCAGTTTGCCTCCCTGGCTCAGGCACTCAGAGCTGTTTTGCTCCTTCAGCCTGGAATTAGCTTTGAGTGACATCCACCTAATTCCAGTGGCATGACCGTTAATGTTAGAAGTTCAGTTTTCCACACTGACCATTGCTGTTCACATTCTTCCATCAGTAGCCTCAGCGTGGAGACCAAGCACTGAAGGACTCTCAGGGACTGAAGGGACCCTGAGAAGGGGTAGGGACAATGCCTATGGCTGTCCAAATGAGCTTGGAACAACGTCTCACTGGGAGACACAATGATCTAACTTCCCAAGGCAGCCACGGGTTGTATTTTCTAGCTCTAAAATTGTGTTTGAAGCAGCACAGTACCCCAAAGAAGCCTTTTCCATGACTCAGCCACAGCGGCTGCGTGAGAAGAACTAGAGTCAAAGGAAGTGATGAGAAGAGAGTTGTTGATACTGGCAAGTAAAACCTTAACAAACTTAGGCTTTACCCAGACGAAGATTTCAAGATGTTATGCTTATTTCAAGATGTTACGCTTACAGAAGTCTGGCAAAGCACAAATCAACTGCCTTTAATACGTGCTAAACTGATCAAGCTGAAGACCGATTCTCTTGCTGACAATCACATGCTGCAGTGCAAACTTGCCCTGCCAGCACTAAGATTTTAACATGCTAAAACCGTGTTGCCTGCACTGACTATATTGGGCTCCCGTCAATTAGTTGCCTCCTTTGCTTTCATGGAAAACCATCGTTGATTTCCTCAGCCATGAGGAAGTTGGTGTCAGACTGGAAACTCTTGGCCAAGCGGCCTAATGCTGCTTATTGAAATAAGTGTTTGCTGGCTGCGCTCCTCCCAGTCTCCCTCACAATTCACCTCCGCCTACCACATGATTCGTACAAGCCCAGAAGGGCTATGAAGGTTTTTTCCAAAATGACCCTCGCTTTTTAGTCCCATCATTGCAAAACCAGCTCTTGCACATAGCATGGGGAAGCGTGCTCTCGGTGATGCCTCCTCATCGCATTACACTAACTCATTTGCCCATGAAGAGATACTTAAATATACCATAAACATTTCTATCCTTGTGGAGTATTTAAACTATCTTTTTATGGGCATACTCTGCCTGCATCAGGGACGCATTTCTTGACAACTGTGATGGTTAATGATTCAGCAGATAGTAAAGCAATTTTTTTTTGGTAAAAATTAATGCAGTAGAGGAGGGGAGGTGTGCAGGGATCTAAGAAACGTACAGTTTAAATACATAAGGACAGTGCTTTGCAACATAAGATTTTTTACATTTAGATACCTGCAAAACACTCCCCAAAATAGTGAGCTCTTAATGGTGTGAAAGCAGAGCAAAGATGGGAGCAATGTGTAGGCACATCTATGCATGTCTTTTAATTCTGGTGTGGTACTTATGGAATACATCATTGAAATTAGAAAAATACTGTGCCATATAGTGGCATACCTGTTTTCTCATCGGCTATTTTAACATAAATATTGTACAGATTAAGGCTAGATATTCACCAAAATGTACGGAAAGACCCATAAATATGTGGATATTCATGTGGTACCCGTGGCCGTTACTCCAGCTGCAGCTTGTTGGACGCATTCCAGTATGACTGGGCGGCTCAGGGGAGCGGTTGGCAGATGGGTGGTGGAGAACTGGGGGAAGAGCTGGTGGCAAGCAGGGCAGGGCATGAAAAAAGTGGTGGAGAACGCAGGTGACGGCTGGCCGGCGCCTGTCACCAGCACGGCCAGAGCTGGTGACAAACCGGTGGCCGCGGTCACCAAC